CTGGGCAGGAAGATGATGAAGGGCAAGGAAGGGGTGGCATTCAGAAGAACAGAGCCTGGGTTTTGGCCAATTAGCACCTTGTCTTCTTAACAAGGGACTTGGACCTCCTACCAAGGAGAGAACCTTCACATTGGGACTTGAGACCATGAGCGCAGTCATCGTTGATCCGATGAAAAGCTCATCTAGGCTAGCATTCTGATTCTATCTACTTATGGGAGTGTGATAGGGTTCTCACTGCCATACCTGTATCCTAAGGAATTATGGGATTTGTAGCTTCAGGAAGGAGTTGGATTTTTCTGCTAGACTTCACAGAACCAAGGGGATGGAACACTAAATCATAGAATCATGGACTTGGAAGGGGCCTTGAAGGCCATCTAGTCCAATCCCCTGCTCAAGGCAGAAATCCAGGTCAAAGTAGATCAAACAGACGGTTGCCCAATTTCCCCTTGAATGCTTTCAATGTTGAAGCACTCAGCACCTCCCAAGGTTATGGGTTCTATTGTTGTACTGCTCTAACAGTTAAGAAGTTTTTTTCAGCTTAAATCTGGCTTCCTGTAGCTCGAGCCCATTCTTATGTGTCCTGCACTCTGGGATGATCAAGAAATTCACCCCCACACCCCATCTGCAATTATATTAGGGTTCTTTTTCAGGAGACAGGCAAGAGAAAAAATATTTTTAATTAATAAATAGTTACTCGGACGTGGTGCCGCTGTGGGCTAAATCGGAAGAAGCCTGTGCTGCAGGGTCAGAAGACCAGCAGTCGTAAGATCAAATCCATGCAACGGAGGGAGCTCCCGTCACTTTGTCCCAGCTCCTTGCCAACCTAGCCGTTCGAAAGCATGCAAATGCGAGTAGATAAATAGGTACCACCTCGGTGGGAAGGTAAAACGGTGTTCCCTAGTTATGCTGGCCATGTGACAACGGAAACTGTCTTTGGACAAGCGCTGGCTCTACAGCTTGAAAAGCAGGATGAGCGCCACCCCCTAGAGTGAGACATGACTGGACTAAAAATGTCAAGGGGAACCTTTACTTACTCAGTATGATGTAGGGCTTAGAACTTCAGAGAAAACAAAGCAACCCAGTGAGTGTTTCCTCACTCTGGGTTTTCCAGCCCTTCATGTCCCACACCCCATGCTCGGGCATGCCACACTTCTCTTCCCCCCCTCCCAGCTTTGCCTCACTTGCTTTCGTCGTCTCCCCCATGCTCTGCCACACTTCTCTTCCCCCCCTCCCAGCTTTGCCTCACTTGCTTTCGTCGTCTCCACTTCCACCGCCTGGCTGAACTTGCCGCAGCCGGCTGAGGTGCGGGCTCGGACCGGACCTATGTAGCGGGTCGCAGGTTTCAGACCAGAGATGGTTGTGCTGTTGCCTTTTGACTTCAGGGTGGAATAGCTCTGCATCTCTTTGTCCTGGAGGAACAGAAAGCCACGTCGCACCCAGCCACGCTCAAGAGAGGCAGTCATGTTTCGGCAACTGTGTGCAGAGGGTCTGATTTTTTCACTCAGACCCCCTTCCACTTCTGCTTGGCCTGCCTGAGTTGAAGAATTTCTAAAAGCACCATTAGAATGGGCAAGCTGACCCCTCACCGCAGGCCTGAGTTCATGGGGTGATTAGCTTTCCTTTCAGGTTACCGAAACTTACCCGTGGATCTATGTTTTTAATAAATCCCAGCGAGATGGGATTGGGAGGCAATTGTATTAGCCATTCCTGTTACCTTGCAGTTTAATCAATGCACTTATGCGCATGTGTGCATGAAATTTTTGATGCAATTGCATTAGGGTTCCTTTTGGTCTTGTTGTCTAATCAGGGCAGAGAGGTGCTTCTGGACGGCTTTCAATGCAAGCTTAAAAACCGGTGGCAAGCCACATATGCCTTTCTGCCTAAACAAAGCCTGGAAATAAGAGAAGGCTGAGATACCATGTACCAGGGCGTTGGTACCTCCAGATGCACCTGGAAAAAAATGCGCTAGAGTAGATGAAACCTAATGCCAAGTAAGAGTT